AATAGATTAGAAATTAAGAAATTCATAAAAAAAAACATACTAAACAGAAGAAAATATAAAATACTCATCAGACTTCGATCTCAGGGGGAATATCGGCAGCGGCGTGGATGCGGAGAAACGGCGTCGTCCGGAATTCTATTGAGGATTTGAGGTCTCAATGTTTCCTCCTTTTTCCTCTAAATGAATCCTTTCCGTATTTTTTTAGCCCGGAAAGAAGTTAGTTACATTAGCTTCAATTTACTCCAAACGATCGTCCGTGTGACTTTTCCCGCCTATTCAATCCAAACGACGCTCCAACAAATTTCCGCCCATTTACAAATTAACGCCACACTATAAATTTTAAAATGTTTTATAATCTTCAAAAATTATTATAAAAAAAACAAACACTAGTAAAAGGAAAATTTATCAAAGAAATTTTACTACACCAAAAAAATGAAAGCACTCTTTACCTTGAGGTCTACGGCATCGGACTTCAAAGTATGGCGCGGAAAATCCCCTTTACGAGAACCAAGTGCAAATGAGGCCCAAAATCACGCGGACGATCATTTTACTATCTCGCCAAAAGTCCCCCCAAAAGGTCCGCTTCTCCGAATCCAGCCGCGTTTCCCCGAATTGCAATAATTTCTCCTTATTTACTTGAGTGTCAGGCAATTGCCAATTAACAGGCGCAACATTTTCAAACAATTTTATACAATCAAAGAATTTCCTTTCAATGCTAAATATTCATGTTAATCTAAATTCAAAAATAATATCCGTTTTTACGTAACAATTAGAGTTTGCGAGATAGTTTATAACTTTTTTAATTAAACATTTTTTATAATGAATTTTAGATATTTGTAATCATAAAACATCACAGATTCAAATTTTTTTGTTTTGAAAATTGAATTATTTAAATTGTAAACTTTTTAAGCCATAAAATTATAATCCCATACAACAATAGGCTTTCGGGTCTATTGTTAAAGCAGGGGTTGCAATATAAGTTTAAAATTTAACGGGAATTTCGTTAAAAATTTTGTTAACCTTTTTTTATTTTCACTTCCAAACTGTTAACAATGGTTTGTTGACATAACCTACATTTGAAACTATTGTTAAAGATCTTTAAAAATGTCTACCGAAACATTAAAAAAACGGACTGAAATTGTACTGAAGGCCAGTACAATTTCAGTACTTTTTTAGTACTTTTCATTTTCGCTGCGAATGAAAATACTGTTTTGCTTTTTTCCTTTCATATTTTTTATTTCTCATCGAATCGGTTTAATTTTTTTGGGAAAAACTTCCTGATTAATAAAAAAAAACTTTCTCGGGAGAAGTTTGCATAATTCGAAAATTCGTCGCATACTTTTTCTCCTTGAAGATTAAAATTCCTGTTATTGTAAATAACAACTTTCAAAATTAATAACTAATAAACAATTTGATTTTTTGGACTTTTTATTTGTTTGTAGGCTTCGGTAAGGTATATTGTGCATGCCTTAAGAAAATCGGTTCATTTCATTAATATTTGACTGAGAAATGACGATATATTTATCAAAAGGTAGTTAATTTTTAAGAGAGAAAATTTTTAGTTTTTATTTTTTAGTGTTAATAAATTGCATTTTAGAAAAAAATTGTAAATAGAAAAAAGATGTATTTTTTTCTCCTCTACAACGTCATAATTTTTAAATCTTTTTTTTGAGTTTTAAAATTTCATAACATAGCTGAGGGTTGGACAATACTTCTGCGTAAGTTCGAGCGAAGAGCCGGTTATAGAATCCAGCTCCTCAATTATTTTCTTTATCCTTTAATCGCAAATCAAATGTTTCATTTGCAAATGGAATCGATAATCTTCTTATACTTTTAGAACAATTTAACTTTGTTGAAGGTTACGTGTAGTAATTATAAACAATCTTCATGCGACAAACAAGATTTTTTTTATATTTACTTCGGAGTATTACGTAAGCATATTTTTGAGGTTTTTAGACCCTCCTCATTCTTAAATGATTACGTAATACTTGAATGGTCCCTTTAAAGAAGATTCATTTCGCAAAATAATATTAACGTTTTCATTTGACCCATTACAGACAAGATTTTCTTTTGTTTGATAAAAGTTTAAACAATTTACCGTATCGTATTGTTGCGGTGCATTTTTTTGACATGCAGTATCAGATCTAAATTTGAGAATCTAAAGAAACACTGTACTTTTCTGCTAATGAAATTGATCAAAATTTCTGCTAGAAGAAGGATTATAACCAAAGTGTATCCAATGGTAGCACGTAGAAGACGCGATGGATTCCTGTAGTATTTTAATTCTCAATTTTTGAGTTTGAATATTAAATATTTTTTCACCTGTTTCAGCATCAATCAATACACAAGTAACGTTTCCTTTCTTGAGCAAGTATTGTAAACAATCGTAGTTCATTCCATTACCAGGTATGACAACCGATTTGAATGCTAGTTTTCGAACATGAACGAGAGGACTGTTTAACATGTTCCAAGTGCTTCTTTCAAATCGCATCAACAAAGCAGCAATTCTAATGGCAGCAATAGCAATAGTTGTAGCAACTATAATGTAAATAAATTCCTCAGAGACTTCAACACCTCGAGTTTTACTTCTTACAATTGGAATTATTGCCTTTGCTGTACTATACATCAAAATACGCATTGGTATACTATTAATAGTATTATTCACTTCTTCTAATATCAGAGTATCTAACGTCATTTCTGCTTTTAGTTTTTCTAGATAAAATTCATCCAATATTCTACCAGTGGTTAGAATTGTAATTCTACAACGGATTGATTGCGCAATGTACAAAATGAATTTTTGTATTTCATTTAATCTTTTTCTCGAAATTTGACCATTAAAGGAAGGTAACATTAATTTCATACCTTGTCCGTAGAGGTTTAATAGTTTGTTTGGAAACCATTTTGTTTGTGGCTTAACTTTCTGTTTTGTATATTTCTTTGCAAAAAGATTGATTCTGTGAATAGTGGTGACATTCGCTGTTTGCCATGTTTGATTTTGAACCAAATTTTCCAGTACCGAAATGTCTAGCATATCAGCGTGCCACAATGATTTCAGCATGCTCTCGTAAGAATAAGGCTTTCTTTGATTACAGTAGTAGATTAAGCACTTAGGGAACGAATGTCGATAGGAGAGAATCCATAGTTTATCAAATACAGCTTTCAAATGAAGACCAATATCCTTCCTTGATTCATTGAGAATGAAAATAAACAGTGTCGTTCTTCTGGGAATTTGTAGATGTAAAGAAAAGTATTTTATCAAATCATTTGGTGCATCATGTAATTGTATGCTCAATGATGGAAAGTTGTTAGAAACATCACGAATAAGTTGTGCGTTGGCATCGGGTACTGCATTTGCAAGAAATTGATCATCAATTATAAACATTACCTGGTGGAGTTTTGATTTTTCCTTAAGGTGTCTTATTAATCCAAAAGTGTAATTGCTCCTTCCTACCACACCGAGAAAAATTACACTAAAAATTGCAAGACCAAATGTCATCCCGAAGAACTTCATCATTTTTTCAATCCTTTAACAAAAAATTAACTGTTCCGTTTGTGAAAGGAATCAACTCTTCTTGTAGTTTTACAAAAAAGATGTTGTAGGTTTGATATTTTCTTGTTATTTGACATTGTTGAAGGGCAGAATCGTCTATTTAAGTTTGCACATACTTGTAGAAGGTCTACAATGCCTACAATTAGGGGAAAGGTGTACGAGATGATCCCCTGGGGCAAGATGATCCTTTTGAATTTTGGAGAGCCTATTAGCGTAACCTTTTAGGCAAATACGATAATACGTTGCCAATGACATACCTATGAATCAGCCAAACTGTCATAACAACACGCGTCATTAAAAAAATTCTATTGTAAAAAATAAAAATTTCATACTTTTGATCTAAGGAAAGCTTAACTTTGTACTTAGATAACTTTTGTTGTAGCAGCTGAAATTCCATTTTTCTTGTACTCACAGCTTCAGTATATCTTCAATTAAGTGTTCTGATTGATACTATGGAATAACAGAGCTCGTTTGTTAAGTTACGAACAAATTACAAAATAGTGGCATTTGGGGCAAGATGATCCCTCAATGGGTGTACATCTTGTACACCCATTGATCCCCCCTGATTCCCATTTATTTCGTCTCACCTCAAAGTGAATTTTCTAGTATTAATATAAAATTCAATTTTTCTCGCTTCTTATATGTTATTATTATCAAAACTAACTTATTTAAAACAAAAAGTTGCAATCTACATCTATTTTATTAATTTTCTTTTTGTAGACAATGCCTCGTAATTATAAAATAGAAAAATGAATTTTGGTGAGTGTTCAAAGGCATTTATAACCCAAATAAAGCATATTTAATATTAATATAGAAAACCATCTTCTTTTATCCTGTCTAAAGCAATCTGCATTTTTTATAATAAAATACTTTTAAAAAAATTTTATTTTTTTAACATTGAAAGTAGTACTTTTTAATAATCTACATGTGCAAAACATGCGAATTTTCTAGCACTTACTCTCAGAAAGGTCACTTTTGCAAAATATTTTTATGCATCAAAATTGTTTTAGACGATTTTAATGAAAAGCTTTTTTTTCTAAAAAATAAGTTTAAATGATTCGCCCCAAAAATTGTTTAAATTTGGTGAAAATAAAATAGCATGAAATATCTTCTAAAAGAGGAATTTTGGCCAAAGTGTATCCAATTACCAGTAATTACGGTCGAAAGTTGTTTTTGAATTATTTTAATCTTAATGACGGTGGTAGTAAGTATTGTTAATTATATTAATGAGATGGAAATAAATAAAAAATGCACCCATACAACTAAATAATTTATTATTTATTAAATAATAGTATGAAAAGGTGTCAATTGAAAGATATATCTCATACTGACGCTACAATTAGCTAAACCCTTCAAGTTCACTTATAATACCTTAAGGCGCTAGCACAGCTCCTACTGCCTGCCTGCCTGCCTGCAGGTTGACATGGTAACACATAAGAGTTAAGAGAGTCAGAAAATTCAAATAAAATGTTTTTTCTCTCTCACTCTTATGGCGCCTGCCTGCGCAGGCAGGCAGGCAGTGAGGTGAGAGTGTACCTTTATCGTTGCAAACAGAACGCGGGATATTTAAACAAAACAAATACTTAATTTAAACTATACAACGATACAATGATGGTTGGTCCCACTATTCAAGACGGAATATTTTCGCTAGTGGTCAGATTTCGATGCTACAATAATGTTATGTCTGCAGACATTGGGAAGATGTTTAGACAATTTATTGTTCACCCTCAGGACAGAATTTTCCAAAAAAAAACTGTGGAGAGATGACTCATCGAAACTATACTGTGCACAACAACGTGAAATTTTAGTTACCTTATCAATTAAATTGTAATTATACATAAGATGACTAATTATATGGATTTTGGACGAAGTGTGAAGAATTTTTAATCAAATTGTATAATCTGTCCCCGGGACAATCAGATGCCGAAATTTGACGATGACCAATTAGTTTGTAATTACTTTGAATTTCACCATCCGAAACTCCGAATTTTATTAAATCCTTCAAAGTCTCAATGGCAGATGAATTCGGCTCACGACCTTTAAGAAAAATGTATAAACAATTAAAATCAATTATTAAATTAAAAAAATGTGACGCGCTCCCAAGAAATGTAAGAAGCAAACGAAAATTTCTCCCTTTTTGCTTCTTAACTTTTTTTCTCGTCCCAAAAAATACCTTCATCTTTACCAAGAAAGGTATTTGTTTGGAGCCCATCACATATGAATAATAATAATATTAGAATAATAATTGCTAAGCGTACTATTGAAATTTCCAATGATACAGATTCCGATACTTCTGTGATCGAAACGAGATAAGCGTTCTCCCATTTTGCCCCAACCAAGTCCCTCATAAACATTTCCGTCCTCTCCAATCAAAAAGTTGTAACTAATGTCACTCCAATTATAATGATCCATATGAAGGTTCTGCAAAAAATATTTATTCCGTAAATTAAAAATTGTTTAAATGAAATAAGTTTATTCAAGTACTAACTGTAATAACGAGAAATAAAGTAATAAATAAAATATTACAGAAATTTAAATTAAAAATATTTTTACTAATATTACTACCTGGCGAGATCGAATTAGCGCTGAACATGTACTTTGAGATGTACAACCATCGGACCCCGAATGATGCAATACAACATGAGAAGGCGGATATAAAATAAGATTATTAGCTGGTTCTTTTGGTGGTCTGGCACCCCATTCAGCCCTAGTGATAACTTTCAGTCCTTTCATAGAATTATCCTCTGTGCCATCTGTAATTAAAATAATTATTTGACATCTATCTGTTAATATTAATCTTCTACAATGTTAATTTCATTATTTTCATTAAAAATAAAGGAAAGAAAAAGGAAAAAGCAAAAAAATAATAAATCTTTAAAGATACATACTTGAATATTTATCAGCATTAGTGACATGAGCTAAAGAAATTTCTGTTGTTTCCTTGTTTTCAACATAATAAATAAAATAGAGAAGTGCTCTAATAATGTTGTTCATTTTCAAAATAAAATAATTTTCCTTTATATGTAATTTATTTTCCCTCTATTTCAATCTAATGTTGAAAAGTATAATATCAGCTGAAACAAAATTTCACGCTCTGCAATTTAGTTTTTAACACACGGTTACTTATAGTCAAAGTCAAGTCAATGACTTTTCAGGTATCAAAATTAGATATAGAATTTTATTACTTATCTCTAATACACCAATAGAATTCCGTATATTTTAGCATTTATTTAATAAATTTAAATGCAGTTTAAACAAATTACTCACAATAATGGACATCTCAATATTACAATTATTACATATTTACGTGAAATATTAAATTAAATAAATATAAAACACTTAAAAAGTACTTGAATAAATATTTTGCAGAATCGAAGGCAAGATAAAACATTCAAAAAATATACATCTTATTTTTTTAGTTGAACAAACAATACTATTTTTTTAAATTTAAAATGATAATTTTTCTAAAGAATACGTTTAAATTTTGAAAATTGACATTTGAAAATAAAATTCAAAAAACAAAAGTTTGAAAATGTTGAATAAAAATTAAAAATAAATTTTGAGACTATGTTCAAAGTTTGACAGTTAACTTGTAAATAATGGTGGATTCCACGTCAGTTCAACACACTTATTTTCATGACTTTTTGGGATTTGGCTGTACTTTTGTAAATTTATTACTTTTATAGTGATAAATAACTCCACAAAATATTTTTTCAAAATTTTGAAAATTACCAAAAATATGGCATTTTCAAAATTTTTGTCTTTTTTTTGGAAGTGCTATAACTTTGGTTCTAATTAACCGATTTTGGATTTTAAAAAAAGGATTTCTTTGGTTTTAAGTATATTTTAAGTTACAATTAATATAAAAAAGAAAAATTAAAAAAAAATTTTTTTTTGAGATTTTAAAAAATTAAAAATCCGTTTTTGAAAAAACATCATCTTCGATTTTTTTCAAAATTTTACTAAATGTTAGGGCAAATGTGCTTTACATGTCCTGTAAGTTTCATCTTGGGATCTCAAAGGGATTCGGAGTAAAAAAATAAAACGTAACCACAAATTACGAACATATAGGGCAAAATACCTCAACTGCCCAGGTAAAAAAATGAATTTTCTCTAAACTTTGCTAAAATGTTACTATTATTAGTAGAAGTGTAAATATTAATTTTTTTTTAATTTGATAAAATATTTTTTGAGTTATGGAGTTTCAAAATTTTGATTTTTTTGATAATATCTTCTTTTCGATTTAATATATTGATAAGTAAAACTCACTATTCATACTTTAAATTTCATTAAATTTACTTATCAATATATTAAATCGAAAAAAAGATATTATCAAAAAAATCAAAATTTTGAAACTCCATAACTCAAAAAATATTTTATCAAATTAAAAAAAAATTAATATTTACACTTCTACTAATAATAGTAACATTTTAGCAAAGTTTAGAGAAAATTCATTTTTTTACCTGGGCAGTTGAGGAATTTTGCCCTATATGTTCGTAATTTGTGGTTACGTTTTATTTTTTTACTCCGAATCCCTTTGAGATCCCAAGATGAAACTTACAGGACATGTAAAGCACATTTGCATTTGCCCTAACATTTGGTAAAATTTTGAAAAAAATCGAAGATGATGTTTTTTCAAAAACGGATTTTTAATTTTTTTAAATTTCAAAAAATTTTTTTTTCTAATTTTTCTTTTTTATATTAATTGTAACTTAAAATGTACTTAAAACCAAAGAAATCCTTTTTTAAAAATCCAAAATCGGTTAATTAGAACCAAAGTTATAGCACTTTCAAAAAAAAGACAAAAATTTTGAAAATGCCATATTTTTGGTAATTTTCAAAATTTTGAAAAAATATTTGGTGGAGTTGTTTATCACTATAAAAGTAATAAATTTACAAAAGTACAGCCAAATCCCAAAAAGTCATGAAAATAAGTGTGTTGAACTGATGTGGAATCCACCTAATAAAATAAGTGGAGTAAGAAAATTTAACTCCAATTTCAAAAACTCAATAAAGACGTACAGTTGCAATTTTTAAAAATTATTAATTATTCTATGCACATTGAAGCAATTCTGAAAAAGGGTCCGCCATATTGGATCCACCATTTTGAATTTAAAATTTTTTTGAAAATTGTCCATAAAATTTTCGTTTATAAATAATTTTTGTTTGTCAAAAAAAAATTGTTGACGTTACAACAAAAGAGTTTACACAACTTTTTGATATTCTCTTCTTTATTATATATTTTTAAAAATTTTAATTTTTCGTTCGTGTTAATTTGTCATTAGTAGATAAACAAAGTGAGTTCCCCATGATAGTTCGCGAGGCCGCAGCTAGAGGCGCCACTAGCGCTGCAGTCGGTTATGGTTCATAGTTGATTCATTATAATGACTAATTGTTGATTTATTAATGCTTCAGTGCTGATTTATTAATTATTTACTGTTTATTCATTAATGATCTGTCTTAAATATCCAACTATTATGGAAAATGAATGATGAAATGTTAGTAGTAGTGAATAAACTCCATACATTAGGTTGAAAAAATTATCGATGTCGAGTAAAAATGCTTGGTATTGTAGATTTAGTAGATTAGTAGATTTTAGTAGATTTAGTAGAAATGATATCTTATTTTAAAATAAATAGATATTTTCTCCAAATATTTTTGGGCTGTTCCTGTAGAGAATAAAAATGGAAAAGATGTTGCTGATGCAATGTAATATTTAGTAAATAAATGTATTCCAAAATACCTGCATTCAGATAATGAAAAGAAAATAATTTTACAATTAACAATTTGAATCAGAAATGAAAATGAATAAAATTACTTTTAATCAACATGCAGGAATCTAAAAAATGTCAGTTGTTGAACGATTTAATAGAACACTTAAGAGTGAAGGTGTAAATTTAGAAGTTGTTGACACATTAAAAGTACGTTTTTTAAAATTAAGAAAAGTACCGCAGTGAAGACCAAAGTTAAAAAAAACATGATAAGGTACGAGTCATCAAATTAAAAAACTTCTTTGAAAAAGGCTATAATCCAAATTAGCTAACTAAAACATTCACCATTGGAGTTGTCCATAAATTAATTAAAACATTTATGGGGGAGGGTCTAGCTAGTTCTTACGAACAATTAGAAAAAATTGAGCTAATGTATGTAAAATATCTTACTAGGAGGAGGGGGGGAAGGTTAAATTTTCAAAAAAATATCTTACGTAATTTATAGACGGCCCCATTGACAAAGTTGTATCAACTACACCTGTGACTTATATAAGATCAATAATAAGACCAACCAATAAGTAAAATATCCTGGTACATATCTTGTAGAAAAAGTTGTCAAGTCTCGTGGAAATAAAATTTTGTTTTAGTGGTTAGACTTTAATTATTATCAAAACAGTTGGATAAATGAGACAAGTCATTAATGAATCAATAATGAATTATTAATAAAATCATTAATTAATCAATAACGAATTAACTATTAATCATAAATAAATCAACTTCAAAACATTAATAAATCAACAATGAATTAATGTTAAATATTAAAAAGCTACTTATAGTGAATTATAATGTATATATTTTATAAAAAATCTATAAAAAGGAACTTCTTAAAGTAAAATATCCTGATATATTTTATAATACAATTCAATAATGATCAATAATGATCATTAATGAATCAGTCATAAATCATTAATGAATCAACTAACTAATTAAGCAAGCCAACGATTTGTCAAAAAAAAAGGCAAAACGAGTCTTTGTCTTAGTCAAAGTGATAGTCAAAGTCTTAGTAAAGTTAACGTTCAAGTCTTATTCCAAGTCTTAATCGACGTCTTAGTCTAAGTCTCGGTCAAAGTATTGGTCACAGTCCAAGTCTTAGTCATGATCAAAGTCTGAGTCAAAGTCTGAGCCATGGTGAAAGTCAAAGCCTTAGTCAAATTCGTGGTCAAAGTCTCGTCCAAAGTCCTAGTCTTAGTCCAAGTCAAAGTTTCAGTCTTTGACTTTGACCATAGTTAGTCTTAGACTTAGATTTACTTTGATTTTCTTTGATAAATCGTTGACTTGCTTTAGATTTTAAATAAAATTTTATTCGTAATTAAAAATAACAGAAAAATGAATTATTTTAATCCATTCTGGTGTTATTTTAATACCTCACGATTTACTGTGTAAGGATTCCTATTCAATTCAACATGCTCCTTTTGTCAATACCACGAATCCAATCTTGTCAAAGTATAACTCTCCTAGTTAAGTCAACTAGTATAATTAGTCATTTTGAAAGTTTTCTTAGTTGTGCATGCGCATGTTTCTGCTTTAGCGGTATTTGGCTCTGTGAATCGTGAATTTACGTGAATCGTGGAATTTTTTTATGCATATAGAATGGGTTTTCTATGTCTTTCACGTTTTAAAATGAAGCTATTACATTGTATATCACTAATATAATGTAATTATAAGTAGTCAATTATTTCAGACATTTTAGATTTAGTTCCAGTCTAAAATAAATTTCATACAAGCGGTGTCAACATTTTTTAGTATTCTAATTAGTTTTGTTAAAACGTACTTTACCATTGCAATATGTAATAATGCATGGATTTGGATGCATTTACATTAAGTTCTTGACAAGCAAGTAATATGGTGTATATTTAATTATTCATTCCTTGTTAAGTCATTAATGATTCTTTAATAATTCATTGTTGATTCCTTAATGATTCATAGTTTATTCAATATTGATTCATTATTGATTCATTATTGATTCATTAATGATTCATTATTGATTCATTATTGATTCATTACGATTCATTAATGATTCATTAATGATTCATTATTTATTCATTATTGATTCATTATTGATTCATTGTTGATTCATTAATTATTCATTAATGATTCATTATTGATTCATTATTGATTCATTGATGATTCATTAATGATTCATTGTTGATTTATTAATGATTCATTAATGATTCATTGTTGATTCATTAATGATTCATTGTTGATTTATTAATGATTCATTGTTGATTCATTAATGATTCATTGTTGATTCATTAATGATTCATTATTGATTCATTGATGATTGATTCATTGTTGATTCATTACTTGATTATTATTGATTCATTGTTGATTTATTGTTGATTCATTGTTGATTCATTAATGATTAATTATTGATCCATTCATTCATTGTTGTTTCATTATTGATTTATAAATGATTAATTTTTGATTTATTAAGGGGTCACATCACTTTGACCCGACCAAAAAATACGCTTTTTCAACCATTTTTATTTAACAATAGAAATTTTTTTTTAAATTCCATAGTGTTAGTTTGATGCAATCTTATAAGGTGTAAGCTTACGTTGACCTTATACTATACGCTGTGATTATTGTCATAAGATTACCGTAACCTTGCATGTAATCTTACGTTTTTAAGACTTATTCAATTTTATTTCTTGACCATTGAATTATAATAAATTATAACTAGAAAAAATAAATTTCTTTATAAAAATATATTTCCACTTTCAAATAGTAATATAGTTAATTACATATTATTATATATATGTATATACATTTTGATATTTCAAGTTTCATTATAATTTCAATGAATTATAATTACACTTTAGTACTATTAAGCTTAAAAAATGGTTTGGATTTAATAATTTCTTGAAATGGAAAGTTTTTGAATGCTTTCCCGAATATTTCAGTGAATGCAGTTGAAACTAGTTCATTAATTAATGGTCTTATTACAGCGAATCCTGGTTGCCAAGCACCATTTATAATTCTATCTAAAACTTCCTCCAAAAAATTTCTTCCTTGTAGCAAATTTGATATATGCAATTCTAGATCCTTTATTGACTGCACATTAACCTTTACATCCATTGCTTTTTTTGGGACACTAGTTATTGTTGTTGTTTGTACAAGATCGTCTGGAATTCAAATGGAAGATTTAATATTTATTTTTAAATTCTAAACTTTGGTAATCCCAGTAAAAAAAAAACTAATTCAAATGAATTGAAACGAATTAACATTTTTGGTAGGCTCCAATTCGTATTTGTCACAAAGCGGGATTCACTCAAGCTCTTTGTATATTCAATTGAATTTAATTCAATATGTACCAATTTGTCCAAACGAATTCGCATTCGAAAGAAATGGCCAAGGAATGCATTGAATTCGTGCTAACGAATTGAAAAAAATTAAAGGCTCAAAACTTGTCCAGTGAATTGGTACGGATAGAAGGTTCGGAAGTTCAATACAGTTTCACGAATTCAGGAAAATTGCATCATGGCTCCAATTCGTATTTGTCACAAAGCGGGATTCACGAAAGCTCTTTGTGAATTCTTTTTAATTCATTTCAATTAGTTTTCGTTTACTGGGATAATAATCTTAATGAATAATGTGTTAAGGTCCCTTATTATGTTTCTAATTGTTTCTCATATTGATTCCCATATGTTTTCATATGTGGGTTCTTATATGAACCCATATGGAAATTTTCCTTTGGGTCCAGAAAGTAGAAAAATTATAAAAACTTTTTAAAAATATTAAATCCGTTTAGACTAAATACGAAGCTAATATTAGACTTCGCACTCGATAATTAATTTTAAAAAAGTAGAAAAAATTAGCTATCAAAAACTAAAAAAAGTAATAAGAAAGTAGCTATCGAAAAATTAATCTTGACGACCAAAAAATCTCGTTTTAGACACTTTACAAAACTGACAAAAATTCTATTCTATATTTTATTTTCCTGACATTTTCAAAATCTTCATCAAAAATATTTTCTTTCTTTCTTATCCTGCTAATAAATTCAATTCCTGCAACGATTTTTAATATTCATGAAAGAATTTAAATATTTATAGAAATAATTTAATTCTTGCAAAAAATGTATAAATAATTGATTTCTTGAGAAATTTTTATTATTCATAAAAAAAATTGAATTCTTACGAAGATTTTTAAGAAAAATTTTTTGAATAATTGAATTCTGTTTTGAAATTTTATGAAAATTGTAGATATTGTAAATCATTGAATTGCAAAAAGTTTTTAAAAATAATTAAATTTTAAAACGAATTCTATACAAATTTTTTACAATAATTGAATGTCTGTGGCATTTTATTAAATTTTTTTTTAAAATAATTAAATTCTTGCAATTATAAAAAATAATTGAATTTTGCAAAGAATTTTATTGAAATGCCTGAAAATTACTGAATTTTCGGAAATAATTTTGTTATTTAACAACATAACTGAATTCTTTCAAAGAATTATTTATGTAAATAATTAAATTCTCAGAACGCATTTTATTAAAATATAAAAGAATAATTGAATTATTTTTTAAAAAATTTAATTAAAATTGTATTTAAAATAATTGATTTCTTTCGAACAATTTTATTAGAATATTTGAAAATAATTGAATTTCAGTGAAAAATTCTAATATTTTTGTAAAGAATTGAATTTTTCCAAAGAATTAAAAAAAACCTTTTTTTAAATCATTGAATTTTTCAAGAAATCGAAATAAAATTTTTAAGAATAATTAAATTTTTTGAACAATTCCTCTAAAATTGTAATAAAAATAATTAAAATCCTGCGATGAATTTTATTATTTATAAAATTGAATACTTGCAAAGAATTTTTTAAAAATTTTCAAAAATAATTCAATTCCACAGAAGAATTTTATTATTTTTAAAAATAATTGAATTCTTACAAATATTTTTGCAACAAATTTTTTAAATAATTGAATTTTGTTTGAAAATTTTACGAAAATAGTACCTAGATTTTGTAAATTATTGAAGTGCAAAAAGTGTTTAAAAACAATTAAATTTTACAAAAAATTATATTTAAATTTTTGAGAATAATTGAATGTCTGTGTTGAATTTTATTAAATTGTTTAAAAAATAATTAAATTCCTAAATGCTTTTTATTATTTATGAAAATAATTGAATTTTTGTGAACGATTTTATTAAAAAATTTCAAAATAATTGAATTTACAAGAAAAAATTTATTACTTTTAAAAGTAATTGAATTCTTATGGTGAATATTATTATTTATGAAAATAATTGAATTTTGAAAAGAATTTTATTGAAATGCCTGAAAATTACTGAATTTTCGGGAGTAATTTTGTTATTTATCAACATAATTGAATTTCGTCGAAAAATTATTTATGTAAATAATTGAATTCTCGGATTCAATTTTATTAAAATCTAAAGTAATAATTGAATTATTTCAATAAATTAAATTAAAATTGTATTTAAAATAATTGATTTCTTTCGAACAATTTTATTAGAAAATTGAAAATAATTGAATTCCTGTGAGAAATTCTAAATTTTTTGTAAATAATTGAATTCTGACAAAGAAATTTAAAAAAACATTTTTTTTGAAATAATTCATTTTTTCAAGATATCGAAATTAAATTTTTAAGAATAATTACATTTTTTTTTATCAATTCCTGTAAAATTGTAATAAAAATAATTGACATCCTGCGATAAATTTTATTATTAAGAAAATAATTGAATAGTTGCGAAGAATTTTATTAAAATTTTCAAAAATAATTGAATTGCTGAGAAGAATTTGATTATTTTTAAAAATAATTGAATTACCTATTGCGAAAAATTTTATTAAAATGTTTAAAAAAAATTGAATATTTCTGTAAAATATTTTGTTATTTTTGAAAACAATTGAATTCTTCATTAAAAATTTTATAAACATTGTTTTAAATAATTAATTTCATCGATATATAAATAAATATTATGAAAATTGTATTTAATAATTGAATTCTTATGTGAAAGACTTTATTTGTGAAAATAATTTAATTTTTCGATTAATTAATGTAAAATAGTATTAAAAATAATTGAAATTCTTCGATGAGTTTTATCATTTATAAAAATAATTGAATTCTTGCTTGGAATTTTATAAAAAAATTTTTTATAAAATTGAATTTCCATGAAAAAATTTTATTATTAGTGAAAGTAATTGAATTATTGTGAAGAATTGTATAAAAGTTTTGTTAAATAATTCATTTTTTCGAAATTTTTTTTAAAATGCTATTCTGAACTAATTGGATTCTTGTGGGAATTTGATTATGTATGAAAATAATTGAATTTTAGATGAATTCTATCAATTTTTTTTAAATTGAATTCTTTTGCGAAATTTTATAAAAATACTAGATATTGAAAATAATTGAATTTCGAATATTTTTTGAAAATAATTGAATCGTTTTCAAGAATTTGATTATAATTTTAAAAAATAGTTTTTTTATTTCTAGCATTAGCGAATTTAAAGTATTATAAATTAAAAAAAAACAGAAATAGTAGCTTTTAGTGACTGAAATCTAAAAAAAGTGCCAAAATAGAAGCATAACGTAAGATATTTCTAGTCCACTAAACTACAATAATGGAATAAAAATTTAATTTTACTTCATTGAGGATAAGTATTATTTTACACAAAAAATTGTCTTACACAAAGTTAGGGTAAACTTTCCCTTATTGTTTATTGTTGATCCAAGGAAACTCCCAGAAAAATCGTAACCTCCAACTAATTTCTTTTTAGGAAATTTTTGAGTGTATGTTATCTGAAAGCAAATAAATATAACATTTTATATGTTTGGATAGAATTAATTTTAGCGTTATTAGAAAAAATCTAAAGTTTAAAACATAACTTAAATAAATTAAAATTATATGTTTTTAGTTTGCGGAGTTAATTTTATTTTAATTTTTTGTCGGCAATCAGAGAATATTTATTTTTATACACATTTTTTTTTGTGGAACATTTTCTTTTGCGCCAAATTATTAAATGCATCGTGAAATGTAGAATAGAAATAAAAATATTTCACTATCATATCCAGAATAATCCTTTGACTACAATTTATTAAATATTAAATACATATTTGTATTTTATTTATTTTCTTTCCTTAATTTTGTCAATTACCTTATAGTTGCCCAAATCACTGTAGAATTTTGTCACTTTGCTAGCTGTCCATCCGCTTTCAGTTATATTTTTCAATGTTAATTTAAATCCAGCATTTGGCAAACCTCTTCGAACGGATACCTCCTTTGCATAAAATGGATCAAACGGCGCCACATTGTACTTAGGCAATCCAGTTTTAAAATAAGGTCGTATAGCATTTAAACTTTCAACAATGCATGAATCAAATTCAGGGGAATTAAGATAACAATTTTTAAAGTATTCTCCTGGGAAAATAAATCATTATTAATGAATTAGAAGCACTTAGATAGTAGTTATAAATTTATTTTCGTTTTCATACAAATGCTAAAAAAAATTCATATTTTCACAAAAGTAGGTTATTATATAATTATGTAAAGCTTCTAAAATCCTGCGAATCTTTTATTTAAATATAAGAAAGTAAAAATTGAATAAATTTCCAGTCTGCGATGAGGTCGTCAAAACCTGACCCAACGAATAAACGTTGCGCAAAATAAAGAATTTTTTATATTCTAGAAACTTTTTGTCTATCATTTAATTATTTAAAGGAAACTATAGGACATAACTATAAGTATAAACTGCAATATAGTCCGATTCGACAATTTTGAATATGAGTTGAAAATAAAATTTTAATTCTTCTTCAGAAAAAACGGTTCAGATAGCTGGAAATCTTTTTTAAAAATTTTGAGAATAAATTTTTTATTTTTGCTATTTTGCAACTTTTTTAATTGTCAATTTTCATATTAACGCATATTAACCTAACACTATATTAACACACTTGGACTAGAGAGTTCATTATGAAAGAATGTCCTCAATTTGTTAGATAATCACATCAGTAACTCAAATTCTTTGATATCTAGATTTTATAGCAAGTTTATTTTACAAAGTAGACAAGCAATTAAAAAAATAATAATTTAAATACATTTTCTGTTTGAATTTTCATTTAATTTAAATATTCACTTCATTTAAATTACAAATTTTCAATAGTAAAACAGTTATCATTCAAGAGTTTGGTAACTATGTAGTCATGGAATTTTAAAATAGAAATAATTACAGAAACAGAAATTCCATTTTGCACTCGACGTAAATTTAAAAAAAAAACATTTTTTGTTTAATAAACAATTGCAATTTCCTTAGCATAAGATCATAATTTAATTTATATTTTTAATAACTAGTGAAATAGAAATGTTTTTTTTTGTAATTACTCACCAAATTCAATTGCAATACATCCATTGAAGAGAAAAAATATCGTTATTAATTGTTGTCTTAGATTCATTATTGTTTATAAAAAACACAATTTTTATTTAAAATTTGTGAATAAAATTGAAGGAAACGTCACGTTTGTTGTTTATACTTTCACTTTTAACCAAGCATCTGAAAGGCATACTTTCTTGTAAGTCTGCTTTACTCTGAGATTTTTAGAACATACTTGTGTAAGTTGATTATCCTTGATGAAAGATAATTGCCAAATCCAATCAAAAGTAAGATAAAATTTATAAAAGATAAAGAAAAAACTTGTGGAAGGATTCCGTCTCAAAGTTTTGTATTTATCTTTTAAAATTAACTTATTTAGCGTACAAGTTATTTTTAATATTATTACATGTGTTATATAGAATAACGTATTAATTAAGAAATCCACTTATATAATTCGAATTATAATTAAGTTATTACCTGTATAAAGAAATAAGTGGATCAGTACTCAATTGAGAATGAGAGTTCATGATATTTATATTTACATTTAGGAATAAAAATTTGGAAGTTTTAATTTCGGTAACATATAGTCATTCATGAAAATGGATTCGGGAAAAAAGACATTCGGAAAAATTGGTTTCGGGAAAATGACAAAAGTAATCATTAAATATTGCAATTTTTAAAAAAAGTTAAGTAAAAAAATTGAAAATCTATTTCTAAAGTTTCATATACAGCGATCTGTAAACCCCTGCCCTGAGTGTCAAGTTTAAAGCAAATTTAATACATTTTTTCCCAAAAATCATGCGCATTTTAAAAATTAAAGTTCAAATTTAAATTAAACGACCCCGAAAACACCCGAGAGACAAATTTCAAAGTAAATTTAACCATTTTTTCCAAAACTCGTCTGCAAGCTTCGCACTCATCTAGTAAAACCTACTATTTACTACTTTTTTATCGTTATACTATTATTTCGGTAATTTTTTTTAGATTTCATTTTTTTTGAGAATTTCCACTACTTTAAATTCGCTAATACTAGAAATCAAAAAACTATTCTCAAAAATTATAATCAAATTGTTTAAAAAGATTCAATTATTTAAAAAAAAATATTCGAAATTGAATTATTTTCAATATCTAGTATTTTCATAAAACTTCGCAAAAGAATTCAATTATTAAAAAAAAATTATAAAGTTAATTCAAAATTCAAATATTTTCATAAATAATAAAATTTCCCCAAGAATTCAATTAATTTAAAATAACGGTTTAAAAAAATTTCGAAAACATGAATTATTTAACAAAATTTTTATACAATTCTACACAATAATTCAATTAATTTCACTAATAATAACATTTTTTCATGGAAATTCAATTTTATAAAAAAATTTTTAATAAAATTCCAAGCAAGAATTCAATTATTTTTATAAATGATAAAACTCATCGAAGAATTTCAATTATTTTTAATACTATTTTACATTAATTAATCGAAAAATTCAATTATTTTCACAAATAAAGTCTTTCACAAGAATTCAATTATTAAATACAATTTTCATAATATTTATTTATATATCGATAAAATTAATTATTTAAAACAATGTTTAAAAAATTCTTATGAAGAATTCAATTGTTTTAAAAAATAACAACATTTTTCACAGAAATATTCAATTCTTTTTAAACATTTTAATAAAATTTTTCGCAATAATTCCATTCTTTTTAAAAATAATAAAATTCTCAGCAATTCAATTATTTTTGAAAATTTTAATAAAATTTTTAGCAACTATTCAATTATTTTCATAAATAATAAAATTTATCGCAGGATTTCAATTAATTTTATTACAATATTACAGGAATTGTTCAAAAAATGTATTTATTTTTAAAAACTTTATTTCGATTTCTCAAAAAAATCAATTATTTAAAAAAAGGTTTTTTTTAATTCTTTGGAAGAATTCAATTATTTACAAAATTTTTAGAATTTTTCACAGAAATTCAATTATTTTCAAATATTCTAATAAAATTGTTCGAAAAAAATCAAATATTTTAAATACAATTTTAGTTAAATTTTTTGAAATAATTCAATTATTCTTTTAGATTTTAATAAAATTCATCCCGAGAATTCAATTATTTACATAAATAGCTCTTCGACGAAATTTAATTATGTCGATAAATAACAAAATTATTCCCGAAAATTCTTTAATTTTCAGGCATTTCAATAAAATTCTTTTCAAAATTTAATTATTTTCATAAATAACAATATTCACCATAGGAATTCAATTACTTTTAAAAATAATAAATTTTTTCTTGTAAATTCAATTATTTTAAAGAATTCTAATAAAATCGATTACAAAAATTCAATTATTTTCATAAATAATTAAAAACTTTTTAGGAATTCAATTATTTTTAAAACAATTTAATAAAATTCAACTGAGACATTCAATTATTCTCAAAAATTTTAATAGAATTCTTTGTAAAATTTAATTGTTTTTAAACAATTTTTGCACTTCAATAGTTTACGATATCTAGGTACTATTTTCGTAAAATTTTCAAACAGAATTCAATTATTTAAAAAATTTCTTGCAAAAATCTTTGTAAGAATTGAATTCTTTTTAAAAATAATAAAATTCTTCTCAGGAATTGAATTATTTTTGAAAATTTTAATAAAATTCTTTGCAACTATTTAATTTCATAAATAATAAAATTCATGGCAGGATTTCAATTATTTTTATTACAATTTTACAGGAATTGTTCAAAAAGTTTAATTATTCTTAAAAATTTTATTTCGATTCCTCGAAAAATTCAATGATTTAAAAAAATGTTTTTTTTAATTCTTTGGAAAAATTCAATTATTCACAAAAATATTATAATTTTTCACTGAAATTCAATTATTTTCAAATATTTCAATAGAATCGTTCGAAAGAAATCAATTATTTCAAATACAATTTTAATTAAATTTGGTAAAAATAATTCAATTATTATTCTTTTAAATTTTAATAAAATTCGTTTTGAGTATTTAATTATTTACATAAATAATTCTTCGAAAGAATTCAATTATTAAAGATAAATAACAAAATTATTCCTGAAAATTCAATTATTTTGAGGCATTTTAATAATAATTATTCTTTGCAAAATTCAATTATTTTCATAAATAATAATATTCATCACAAGAATTGAATTACTTTTAAAAGTAATAAATTTTTTCTTGTTAATTCAATTATTTAAAAAAATTCTAATAAAATCGTTTGCCAGAATTTAATTATTTTCGAAAATAATAAAATGCTTTTTAGGAATTCAATTATTTTTAAAAAAATTTAATAAAATTCTACACAGTCATTCAATTATTTTTAAAAATTTTAATAGGATTTTTTGTAAGATTTAATTCTGAACATTTCGCAATTCAATGATTTTCGATATCTACTATTTTCTTAAAATTTCCAATCAGAATTCAATTATTAAAAAAATTTTTTGTAAAACTCTTCGTAAGTATTCAATTCTTTCCATTAATAATAAAAATTTCTCTCGAATTCAATTATTTAGATTAGAATTTACATAAAATTAGTCGAAAGAAATCAATTATTTAAAATGTTTTATAAAATTATTTGCAAGAATTAAATTATTTTTATTAATATTCAAATTCTTTCATGAATTATAAAATTCGTTGCAGGAATTCAATTTATTAGCAGGATAAGAAAGAAGTAAATATTTTAAATGAAAACTAGGAAAAGTCAGTAAAATAAAATATAGAATGTAATTTTTGTCAGTTTTGTGAAGAGTATCTAAAACCAGTTTTTTTTTGTCGTCAAGTTTAATTTTTCGATAGCTAATTTTTTACTACAGTTTTTAATTTGAAATTATTGAAAACTCATAGGAAAATTTAGTTACATAAATACACCAACAAGTGAGGAACATTACGTTTCCGAAAAATATCTCAAACATTTCCTGAAAAATGCACTTTGAATTAATGCTACATAAGAATATCACGAACAGCATAACGGTAATTATGACAAAAAAAGTGTAAAAAGTAAAAGTCAAAGTAGTAAATACAGTCAACACCGTTAAAGAGTTACGTAAAAATTCAACATAGTAAAAATTTGATATCGGTCAAAAGTCTACTTATCAAATGAATCAGAAAGGGTTCAAGGCGGTGGTCTCTTCGCTTATACGAGTAGATGAACGACGACAAAATAAATATTACTTTCATCACATCAAAATATTATGAGGTTTCAGAAATACTACAATGATTAAGAGATAAATAATTATCAAGGATATAACAGTCACAATGCAGCTCATCATCATTAAACTTACAATAGGAAATGTTCTATGAAAAGCGGAAATTTCCTCTTCTTTAATGTTTTTATTTTGCTACTATACTTTTAAATGTTGTTATTTAATTAAAAATCCATTTAACGGAAAAAATAAAATACAAAAATTTTGTTCTTCCCTTTTTTTTAAAGCAAATGTACAAAAATTATCATTTTTTGTAAGTTAAAACATTTTTTTAGTTATTTTGAAGAAAAGACTTTTTGCTTATTGCAAACATTGGAAACATTTTAATTCTTCGAAACTTAAAGATCTTTTTATATTATTTTCTCAGAGTTTTTTAAATTAGAATTTTTCAAGGCAACAAAATTACAAATTACACAGGTTTTTGGAATCGCTTATTATGAATTTTAAGTCAGATTTAAAAAATCCAAAATGGCGGATCCAATATGGCGGACGAAAATATCAAAAGTCTAACGGATTTGCTTGAAACTGATTACTCGGAGGTTTTCGGGGTTGCTGATTACAAATTTGAAGTCAGATTTTAAATGTTAAAAATGGCGGACAAAAAAATTTAAAAAAAAACGGATTTGCTTCAAATTTTGTACAAAAATCGTATAATATTGTCTTGAGGGTAAAAATATGACTTCACGTTCGTCATCATCAACTATAAAATAAAATGAATATTTCGAATAAAGAACATGTATTACAACTGAGGCTTCATTGTAATAGAATTAAAAATATAAATTTGTACAAATAAAACTAAACGAAATTATAAATTTAAAAAAAAAATAACTAAACACCCAACCAATGAAATAAGTTATCAAATAATATAAAACATTTAGGAGAATAATAATTATTTTTAACAAAGCGACATAAACGAAAAAATATCATTTCAATATTTTATTTAAATTGCATAAGAAATATAAATAAATTTATAAATAAATGGTTATACACACCAAGTTTGATAAAACTTTAAAAAATACTTAATTCTTCAGGCTTCACAATGACAATGAGAATGTGAATACAAAAACTAATCATCGGGAATTTTATCTGGAAGGGATAATAAGAGAATAGATTAATCAAGGAAAAGACATATAGGAATAATGAATTACAGGTATTGATTATCCTTTTGTGACGTATGTTCTTAAATAATAAATAAAAAAATTAATTTGAACTAAGAGTCACAGAATTTCCCAAACGGATCTTCTAAAATCACAAAATTTAATCTTCAACGTTAAATCATTTCTTTTAATTCTAGTATAGTGTGATTTAAGTAATTTTTAATAACTTTTAGTCTAAAAATTGTTTCTTGAATTTATTAACTATTAAAAATTTAAGAATTTATAAAAAAAATTTTTTTCGATTCTTTTGTTGATTAATATAAAAAAAATAAGAAAATGATTTTTTTGTTTTACATATATACATACATATACAAAAGTATAATAATTTTGTAATAACATTTTATTACTAAATAATTTAGGAAACTATAGAAAATATACAAAGTTTTTAAAATAAATATTATTATACAATACATTTCCAAGATAGGGATTTTTTTTCCTTATTTTTAAATTGGTCAAGCGGATCTCTCAAGAAAAGTTTTTTTTTTCAAGACTATTAGCAACTTTAATTGTCAATTTTAATAATTGAACAAACAACTTTTTTTAGTTTAAAATTTAAAACTCAAAAATGTGTAAAAATAATTTTAGAAATAATAATATGGAAAATTAGAGAAATAATGAAAGGAAAAATTATTTAATGTTTTAAAAAAAGGATTTCTTAAATAATATAGAAAATATATTTAACGCATTCAAAAGTTATTAAATATTTGATTTTTTTAATTGAAAAATAACATTTTTTTAATGTTTTATAAATAATTATAAATAAATTCTAAAAAAATTTTGAGTACCTCCGTTAAGCTCCATTGTTGCGTTTGAATCCGTTCGCAGTTTAAAGTTAGTTCTTGTTTGCTTCTTAACTTTTTTTGATAAATTTTCTTTTAAATGTTTTGAATTTTAAAATTAATGTACTGAAAATTACTAAATTCTTGCAAAATTTTTATCAAAAAATTTGAAAATAATTAGTCATTAAAAGAATTTTATCAAAAAAAATTTTTTAAAATAATTAAATTATTTAGAGAAAATTTAATTAAAATTGTACCTATTGAAAATAATTAAATTCATAACAAGAATTTTATTATAATTTTTTTTTAGAGAAATTTTTTAAATTTTGAATCTGAAATTATTCAAAAATTCATATTTATATTTGCAAATATGAAATTTTTTAATTTGCAAAATAATAAATGGAATAATTCTTCAAGTTTTTAAAATATTTCTTCAAAATTCAATAAATATTGAGGATTGCTTTAATTTTCTTCAGATTTGAAGAAAAGTCTTCCAATCTGACAGCACGAAGGTAGTGCCACCAAACGGGTTCCCTAAGTTTAGGCGCGTGAAATAAAATTTTTCTTTTAATAAGAATTATGATATATTTTTATTGTTAGCGCCCTAAATATTGTGAGGCACTATAATAGCAATTTCTACAAGGATACAATTTTTTTTTTAAATACTAACAAAATTAAAAAATTATATGCTAAATAATTTTCAAAATAATTTTTTTATTGACTTTTTTTACATTCTCTTATAAAACAGTAATATTAATACCTGCAGCATTAATATAAAATATATGTAATTATTAGAAAATAAAAACTTCAAATAATATTAAAAAAATTCAATTATTTTTAAAAATTCACGCTATATTGCTTTTAATATTCAATAATTATTATTTTAAATTTTAACTAAAATTAATTTTTAAATCAATTTTTATTAGAAAATTCTACGAGAGAATTCAATTATTTAAATAAAAAAATAAATAATTTATTGAAAAATTAAATGTTTCTTAAACTTCTATTCTGATAAATAATTTTATCAAAAAAATTTTAAATATGTAATTGAATTCTATCAACGAATTTTAATAAAATTTTTAAGAATAATTACATTTTTCGAGAAATTTGATTAAAATTGTATTGAAAATAATTGAAATTCTGACAAGAATTTTATTATTTATAAAAATAATTGAATTCCTAAAAAGAATAGGATTTTATTACTTTTGAACAATATTTAATTTTTGCGAAGAATATTATTACTCTTCAAAATATATTAAATTTTTGCAATAATTTATTTACAATTCAATTTTAAAAATTTTCAATTATCCGTAAATTCTTTAATTAAATATATATTAGAAAATAAAAACTTTAAATAATTTCAAAAAAAAATCCGCAATTAAAGTTTCTCAAAAAAAAAAATTAATTCCACAAAATTGTTAGTTAAAAAATTTATGAAAAATTCAAATTTTCAAAGCTTTTATAATCTGAAACCTTTTCAAAATTCAATTATTTCTCAAAATTATTATTTTATTATTAATAATTTATTTAATTATTTAATTTAATTTTTTTTTTAATTTTATTATTTAAATATAAAAAAAACAATTTATTGAATAATTGAATTTAGAATGGAATTCTTATAAAGAATTTTATGTATAAATTTTTAAATAACTGAATTCTATTGACGAATTTTAATAAAATTTTTAAGAATATTTTCGAGGAATTCTCGATTAAAATATTGTACATATTAAAAACAACTGAAATTCTGCAATGAGTTTTATTATTTATAAAAAAAAATTGAATTCCTAAAAAGAATTTTATTATTTACGAAAATAATTGAAATGGAAGAAGAATTTTATTATATATTAAAATAATTGAATGATTGCGAAGAAATTTATAAAAAAAAATTTGTCGGTTTTATTAATGTAGATTTTTTTATGTTTTTTTTTACTTATCTATTCTATTTATTTATGTATTTTTTATTTATTTATTTTATTTTTTATTATACTTTTTTATATTATATTTGAGGCTCCGGATCTTAAAAAGCATTAATTAAAAAAAAAAGTGGTAAAAGTGACATTTTAAGGTCCGGAGCCTCATTTATTTATTTTCAGTGAAGAAAAGTTTATTGCTTGTTATACTATTGTTAATTTAATTTTTTTTTAAATTTATAAAATTAAAAAAAAAATGTAGATACCTAAATCATCTCTTTATATTTATGTATTATATATTATTAGTATTTTTCCTGGTTAAAAAAAATATTTTATTACAATTTAATTTATTAAATTAAATTTGAATTTTTTATTGAATTTAATTTATTTTTAAATGAACATCATTTTGAATTGTTTTTGTTCTAACGGAATTTGAATAGTTTTCATTCCGTTAGAATAAAAAAAATCATCTAATTTTCATTTGTTTTTAAATGGCGTTAACTATACTTTTTATATGTGAATATATGTCAAAGTTGCTATTTGAATAACTTGAGTGAGTGAATTTCTTTCGTTTTGAGAAAAATGGTGCTGTATAGTGAGGAAGAGTATTTAGACATGCTTCATTGTTTTAATGATGCTGGAGGCAAAAGCTCTAACGCTGCGGCAAATCTTTATAGAACTAGATTTCCCGACAGACAGCGATTTCCCGGTCATAGGGTGATCACTCGTCTGGTGATTCGGATTAATAATGGAGAGCAAATTGTGCCACAGAATTTAATGCCAGGAGCTCCGAGGCGTGTAAGAACACCGTCGATCGAGGAAAAAATTCTTAAATTTATAAGAAATAATCCGCAAAAAAGTTTGCGAAGTGCGGCAACAGCCCTTAACCTCTCCTATTCAACGGTTCAAGCAACTGCGGCGGAAGAAGGATTTATATTTGGGTATATAATTTTTATTTTTAAATTTACTCTTGAAGATTTTTCATTAAAATTCGTTGAAAATTCAATTATTATCAAAATATGTAATTAAAATTCTTTAACTGGAGAGGGATGACCGAACTTCTCACTCACTTTTTTAAATAAAATGATAGCCATTTTAAAAATAATAGAATGTAAAAATTATTAATTTAATTTCTTTTTTTATAAAAATAAAATATGAATTTGAATATATATAGTTTTAATATTATTATAATTATAATAATCATATACTTTCTGACATAGTAGGGAATTCAAGGAAAAATAAAGAATTTTTATTAAAAGTTCTGAAAAAAATTTAATTTATTGAATGAATGAATAATTTTACTTAAATATTTCAAAATTAATTCAATTTTAAAAGAGTTGAGTTTACAATTTTCATAAATATGTAAATAAACTTAAAACGGTTTCAATTTGAAATTTTATAAAATTTCAATGTTGAATGAATTCATTTAGAAATTTAAATGAACTTTTAAAGATTTTTGAAAAATTTTAAAAATTCAAAATGTTTTAAAATTAGTTAAATTTGTCAATATATATTTAATTAATTATTTAAAATAATGAATTTATAGAAAATTTTTAGTTAAAAACACTAAAGAATTGGATTTTGAAGAAGTTACAAATAATTGCAAAAATTCAATTAATTTTCAAAAGTAATAAAATTCTTAGCACAAAATTCAATTATATTCAAAATTTACAAAAAAATCTCCAGAAAATACCAATTATTATCTTTATATAAATAAAAAAATTCTTCTTCACAATTCAATTATTTTCAAAAATTTTAATAAAATTCTTGTCAAAATTTCAATTATTTTCAAAAATTTTCAATATCTACTATTTCAATCAAATTACCCAAGGGAATTTAATTATTTAAAAACAATTTTAATAAAATTGTACGCAAACATTTAATTTTTTTCATAAATAATAAAAATTTCACGCAGGAATTCAAATATTTACAAATTTTTTATAAGTTTCTTCTCAATAATTCAATTATTTTCATAAATAATAAAACTCATCTCACAATTTTAATTATTTTTAATACAATATATATTTTAATAGAATTCCTTAAAAAATGCAAATATTATAAAAAGTTTTATTAAAATATAAAATTCGTCAAAAGAATTGAATTATTTAAAAATTTGTTAATAAAATTCTTTATAAGAATTAAATTTTAGGAAACATTGAATTATTCAATAAATAATTTACTATTGTATTTAAATAATTTGAAAAATTTTAATTCCTACGGAAAAATAATAATAATTAAATATTTAAAATATTTAAAAAAGAAATTATTGTTTTCGAATAATTTTACAATTAAAGATATTCTTAAATAAATTTAACAGATGGACATTTTTTTTAATAAAATTTTTTCCTCTCTTTACTAAAAATTCAAAAATTTTCAGTTTCATTTTCAATAAAATTTTCCAATTGACAAATATAATTTATAAACATTTTTTTCATTTATTTTGAAAAAACTTTGAATTTTATTAAAACAATTGAAATTAGAAATAGAATATTAATGCAAATTGTTTCCTTATGAAAATTGAGAATTTTCTAGAAAAATATAAAGAAACGGAAATATGTAATGTTTTTCAATTATTTTCGAAAAATTTTCCTAAATTTCATATTAATTCTATTATTTACCAATTTTTTTATAAATTTCTTTGCAATAATTTAATCATTTTCAATTAATAATCAAATTTTTTTACAGGGATTGAATTATTTTCATAAATATATTAAAATTCTTTTTAGAAATTCAATTATTTTCATAAATAAATCTCATCGCAGAATTTCAATTATTTTTAATACAATTTTAATTGAATTCCTCGAAAAAAGTAATTGTTCGATTAACAATGCAATTTTATTAAAAATCGTCAAAAGAAATCAATTTTCAAAAATGTTTTGATAAAATTCTTTATGAGAATTCAATTTTAAGAAATATTTAATTATTCAATAAATTATTCATTTTTGCATTTAAATAATTGAATTCTCGTAGAATTTTCTTATAAAAATTTATTTAAAAATGAATTTCAGTTAAAATTTTAGATTTGAATATTTGCTGTTCAAATTATTCAAATATGAAATATTCAAATAATATTTGAATATTAAAAGCATTATAGCGTGAATTTTAAGAAATAATTGAATTTTGAAAAGGTTTCAAATTAAATTCTTTGAAAATCTTAATTTTTCATCAACTTATAACCATAATAATTCTGTAGAATTAATTATTTTGAAAAAGTTTAATTGAAAATGTACAAAATATTTTCTACTTTTAAATTTTTATTTTCCAACAATTTAAAAAATTTTTTTTTAGAAACAAGGAAATAATGAATAATAACATTAATAATGTTTTTTAGATTTTTTTAGATATTTATAGATATTTTTAAAAATATTTTTATTAATTAATAAAAATATTTTTGAATTATTTGCAAAATAAAGATAATATTATTAAATTAAAAAATTGTAAAAAAATAAAGAAGTAGGTATAATATTATCTATCGAAACATATCAGAAAAACAGAAAACAAATTTATTTGTTTATATTAAAACTTAGCGCTTTTATATCGCAATTCGATATATCGAAAATATTCGAGCGAATAGTCGCTCGTCTGACGTCACACACTTAATATAGTAACGCCTCTAGTGTAAGAAATTCAAACTTTATTTATATCACGGGCATGCGTTTCTTTGTATTATAATATTCATGACAGTTACAAATGTCAAAAAACAAAAACAGTCGCATAAACATCGGTCTGCTAAAAACAATAACAAAATTTTTTAAAATTTATTTAAATGGAGTACAATAGAATTCGCACAGGAAAACTTGTGCTGAAAGGCGAAAAACAGAAGTATTTATATTTTAAAATAATTATTATTTACATTGATTCTAATACATATATTGATTCTAATTGTTTGAACTAATAAATCTAGTTGTATAATAACAAATTGTAACTTTTTATGATCAATGAAATTATAATAAAAAATAATAACAAACAATAATTAACAAATAATCACAAATTATAATTAATAATTTACAAGATTGTATTAATAAATAATAAAAAATTGTAATTAACAAATAACAAAATTGTAATTAATAAATTATAATTAACAAATTAACAACAAGATTTGTAACAATAATTAATTTTAATTAATTTCGAAATATTATCATTAAAAATTTCAAAAATAATATTGAATTTTTATTATATTTTTATTGTAAAAAAGTGAATTTTAGAATTTTTTTTATATGAACTTCCTGTATTTTTATAAAAAGAATTCCTGAAGACCTTTTCCAAAAATTAATAAAAAATAATCTGAAATTTGAAATTATAGAATTTTAAAAGGATTCAAATTTGAAATTTCAAAAAAAATTTGAATTTTAAGTAATTTTAATCGAAAAAGTTAGTTTTTGAATAATTTTTGAATTTACGTGAAATTAAATTGTAAACAAGTGAATCTCAGAATTATTTTAAGTGAACTTCCGGTTCAATTATTTTTTGAGTAATAATTTATTTCATGAAAATAAATTCTTTTCAAAAAATGCCATAAATTCTAAATTCAATTCTTGATGTAAAGGCTATACTACAAAATATATTATTCTAAATTTATACTTAAAAATGAATGTCCTTAAAAAATATCATACGATTTATTTTATGAAAGCAGTATTTATAATTCATAAATGTTTTTCATTTACAAATAATAAATAAAGCTAACTAAATATTTATAATAAAATTTTCCAAAGACAAACAACTTTTTTTTCCATATTGGTCTTTCACCTTTAATAAAAAGAATATATATTTCAGATCGAAAAAAAGAAAGCACAAAAACTTGGAAAAAGTTGAAAAAACGACCGAAGTTCAAGACACCGACGTTATTAATCATGGTAATTGCTTTTCAATTATATATGTTTAAGAATATTAAATTACGATTATAATTTTAATGAAATGCTGTATTTAAAATGAAGATAAATATAATTTTCGAATTAAGTTTTTATTACAATTTATTACTATTTTTTTAGGAGGTTGGTGTAAAACATCTAGTGTGTCAGAGATAACAGGAACAGTGGCTATTGAATTTAAAAATCAAACTTACATAAAGGCACTTGATAATGGTCTTTTTACATTGGGAATTCCTCATGATGAGGGTGACGGTCCATCGCCAGAGGAAATTTTAATAGCCATTCCCGTTAATGAGACAAAAATTGCTCTAAAATCTGGATATGGTAAATACTTGGGAGTAGATAAAAATGGTGTTGTAGTGGGACGAAGTGATGCTGTCGGTACTTTAGAACAATGGGAACCAATTTTTCAGGTATATTAATTTATCTTTTTCCAAATTGAACACTTTTAGAAAATCTATTTTATTTCCCATTTTTTTAAGTCACTGATTACGAATATGAATAAGTAAAATAAGTAAAATTACGTTACGCTTCTATTTGGGCACTTTTTTTAGATTTCAGCCTCGAAAAGCTACTATTTCTGGTTTTTTTTTTAGAATTCACACTAATTTAAATTTGCTATTACTTGAAATCAAAAAACTATTCTTAAAAATTATAATCAAATTCTTTAAAACAATTCAATTATTTTAAAAAAATATTCGAAATTCCATTATATTCAATATCTAGTATTTTCATAAAACTTCGCAAAAGAATTCAATTATTAAAAAAAATTGATAAAATTCATCCATAATTCAATTATTTTCATAAATAATAAAGTTTCCCCAAGAATTCAAATAATTTAGAATAGAGTTTTCAAAAAAATTTCGAAAATATATCAATTATTAAACAAAATTTTTATACAATTCTTCACAACAATTCAATTGCTTTTACTAATAATGACATTGTTCATGAAAATTCAATTAAAAAAAAAAATTTTGTAAAATTCTAAGCAAGAATCCAATTATTTTCATAAATAATAAAACTCATCGAAGAATTTCAATTATTTTTTATACTAAAATTTTAAATTAATTCATCGAAAAATTCAATTATTTAAAATAAAATTTTCATAATATTTATTATATTTCGAAAAAATTAATTATTTAAAACAATGTTTAAAAAATTCTTATGAAAAATTCAATCATTTTGAAAAATAACAAAATTTTGTACAGAAATTCAATTGTTTTTAAACATTTTAATAAAATTTTTCGCAAAATAATTCTTTGCAACTATTCAATTATTTTCGTAAATAATAAAATTCATCGCAGGATTTCAATTATTTTTAATACAATTTTACAGGAATTAATCAAAAAAATGTAATTATTCTTAAAAATTTAATTTCGATTCCTCGAAAAAATCAATTATTTACAAAAATATTAAAATTTTTGCACGGGAATTCAATTATTTTCAAATATTTTCATAAAATTTATATAAAAAAATCAATTATTTTAAATACAATTTTAATTACATTTTTTAAAAATAATTAAATTATTCTTTTGGATTCTAATAAAGTTCTTCGAAAAAATTCAATTATGTCGTTAAATAACAAAATTATTCCCGAAAATTCAATTATTTTGAGGCATTTTAATGAAATTCTATGCAAAATTCAATTATTTTAATAAATAACAATATTCATCACAAGTAATTCAATTATTTTTAAAAGTAACAAATTTTTTCTTGAAAATTCAATTTTTTAAAAAAATTCTAATAAAATCGTTCGCAAAAATTAAATTATTTTCATAAATAATAAAACTCATCAAAAAATTTCAATTATTTTTAATACTATATTTTAAATTAATTAATGGAAAAATTCAATTATTTTCACAAATAAAGTTTTTCACAAAAATTCAATTATTAAAAATAAAATTTTCATAATATTTATTATATATCGATAAAATTAATTATTTAAAACAATGTTTATGAAATTCTTATGAAGAATTCAATTATTTTTAAAAATAACAAAATTTTTCAAAGAAATTCAATTCTTTTTAAATATTTTTATAAAATTTTTTGCAATAATTCAATTATTTTCATAAATAATAAAATTCTCCTTAGGAATTCAATTATTTTTGAAAATTATAATAAAATTCTTTGCAACTATTCAATTATTTTCATAAATAATATAATGAATTGCATGATTTCAAATTATTTTTAATACAATTTTACAGGAATTTCTCAAAAAATGTAATTTTTCTTAAACATTTAATTTCGTTTCCTCGGAAAAATCAATTATTTAAAGAAAGTTTTTTTTAAATTCTTTGGAAGAATTCAATTATTTACAATAATTAATAATATTAGAATTTTTCACAGAAATTATTTTCAAATATTTTAATAAAATTGTTCGAAACAAATTAATTATTTCAAATGCAATTTTAATTAAATTTTTTTGAAATAATTTAATTATTCCTTTAGATTTTAATAAAATTCTTCCCAAGAATTCAATTATTTCCATAAATAATTCTTCGAAAGAATTTAATTATTAAAGATAAATAACAAAATTATTCCCGAAAATTCAATTATTTTAAGATATTTTAATAAAATTCTTTGCAAAATTCAATTATTTTCATAAATAACAATATTCATCACAAGAATTCAATTATTTTTAAAAGTAACAAATTTTTTCTCGGAAATTCAATTATTTAAAAAAATTCTAATAAAATCATTAGCAAGAATTCAATTATTTTCATAAATAATAAAATGCTTTTTATGAATTCAATTATTTTTAACAAAATTTAATAAAACTCCACACAGACATTCAATTATTCTCAAAAATTTTAATAGAATTCTTTGTAAAATTTAATTATTTTTAAAAACTTTTCTCAATTCAATGATTTTCAATATCTACTATTTTCATAAAATTTCCAAATAGAATTCAATTATTTAAAAAAATTTTTATAAAAGTCTTCGTAAGAATTCAATTCTTCTTATTAATAATAAAAATTTCTCTGGAATTCAATTATTTAAATTAGAATTTGCATAAAATTAGTGAAAAGAAATCAATTAATTTGAAAAATTTTATAAAATTCTTGGCAAGAATTAAATTATTTTCATAAATATTTAAATTCTTTCATGAATAATAAAATTCGTGTCAGGAATTCAATTTATTAGCAGGGTAAGAAAGAAGTAAATATTTTTGATGAAAATTAGGAAAAAATCAGGAAAGTAAAGTATAGAATGGAATTTTTGTCAGTTTTGTGAAGTTTCTAAAACGAGTTTTTTGGTCGTCAAGTTTAATTTTTCGATACCTATTTTTTTTTACTATTTCTTTAGTTTGAAAGTTACTTCTTGATACTTTTTGAAATTAATTATCGGGTTTTGTAGTCTGATGTCTATAATGTAAATTATATTTTTTTTACTCTGACAAATATTTTCAGGACGGAAAACTCGCTATTTTAAGTAGTACAAACAATTTCATTTCGGTGACAAGTGACGATGATGTTGTTTGTCAAAGTAAAACTGCTGGACCTGATGAATTTCTTTGTATGAGAAGCATTATTCAGCGAGTAGATGATGCAGATAATGATGTATGTGAAGAAGAACAAGGATCTTTAGCACAAGTTGAAGAAAAATTTGTGTAAGTATATTTGTTTGGAAACCATTTTTTTCTATAGAATGTATTTTTTTCCATATCATAACAAATTTATTTTAAATTTACCAAGCTTATAACTAGAGAATTTCCCCTTTTGTTTTAAACTAGAAAATTTTGTTATTCTTTTAGACGAAAGTTTCAAAAATTCCAAGACAAAAAATTGCGAATATGTAAAGCCGATCGTTCGACTCTGAAGAAAGCAAAAGAAGATGGTTCACTTCATGAAACTTTGCTGGACAGACGAAGTAAAATGAAAGCAGATCGATATTGTAAATAAAAAAAAAAACAAGTTGGTGGTTAGCATAATTACTATTATGAGTTGATGTGTTACAAACGGATTTGTTTATGCCTTTATAAGATTAAATTACATGAATTCTCGTTTGTAAAATATTTAAGTTTTATTTTATTTCTTCACCTTTTTCTTATCTCTCGTTAGATTTTAGAATTTAATTCTAGTCGAAGTCTTTCGAGTGTTTTTAGTTCGAATTTCTGTAAAATTTTTCTAAAGGTAAATAATGTCAATAACTTTGAAGAAACAATGTTATTAGAAAACTTTTCTTTAAATGAAGGTGATCTGGAAACTAGACAATTTACTTTCTTATCTACTTTCATGAGTAACGTGTTTTCCATTTGCTTTCATAAAACAAATATATTTTTATTTAAGAGCCATCGATTTAGGAGCGAGAGGTATAATATAAGTAATCATTATTCCGCCACCCCCTGTCATCGTCAGTTTCTTACCAATTAAAAATTTCTCATTTTCTCATTTCTTATTACTCGATTTATGGATTTGAAGTCATGAAACAAAGTATTTAAAAATAATTTTTGTCTTTAAAAAAAAATTTATTTTTAATAGTTCTGCGCCTCCTAGAAAAAAAAAAAGAAAAATTGTTTTCTATTGACAACATTCCCCTGAGTAAAAAACAGTTTGGAAAAAAAATGTACGCAGTTTTTTTATTATTGTTGCTGTTTTTTGTTTTTATATCAATATTGTAATGATTATGAATCTGAAGTCTGATTTTCAAAATTCAAAATGGCGGATCCAGTATGGCGGACATTTTTATTACAAAACATGAAGAAGGCGATCACTCCGTTTTTTGTTTTTATATCAATATTGTAATGATTATAAATCTGAAGTCTGATTTTCAAAATTCAAAATGGCGGATCCAGTATGGCGGACATTTTTATTACAAAACATGAAGAAGGCGATCACTCCGAGTCGAAGACTCGGAATGATCGCCTTCTTCATGTTTTGTAATAATTTAAAATAGCAAAAAAATTTTCAAAAAAAAAAAATTAATTATTCACAAAAATCCTTCGCAAGAATTCAATTATTTTTACAAGTAGTAAAATTTCTCAAAAAAATTCAATTATTTAAAAAAAATGTAATAAAATTCGTTTTGCAAGAATTCAATATTATTTGAAAAGATTTTTATAAAATTCATCGCAAGAATTCAATTACCTAAAAAAAAAATTTAACAAACTTCTTTTCAAGAATTCAATTATTTTTATAAATAACAAAATTCTTCTACGAAATTCAATTATTATTTTTATAAACTTGAATAAAATTCATTGCAAGAATTCAATTATTTATATAAATAATAAAATTCTTCACAGAAATTCAGTTATTTTTATAAACTGGAATAAAATTCGTTGGAAGAATTAAATTATTTTCAAAAATAATAAAATTCTTCGCAGAAATTCAATTATATGTTTAAAAGTTAAAAAAAATTCTTGTTAAAATTTCAAGTATCTTTATAAATAATAAAATTCTTCTCCGAAATTAAATTATTTTAGAAAAATTTAAATAAAATTCTTGGGAAAATTTGAATTATTTTCATGAATAATAAAACTCATCGCAGGATTTTAATTATTTTTGATACAATTTTAATCGAATTCCTCTAAAAATGTAATTATTCTTAAAAATTTTATTAAAATTTGTCAAAAGAATTTAATTATTTAAAAATTTGTTAATAAAATTCTTTATAAGAATTAAATTTTAGGAAACATTGAATTATTCAATAAATAATTTACTATTGTATTTAAATAATTTGAAAAATTTTAATTCCTACGGAAAAATAATAATAATTAAATATTTAAAATATTTAAAAAAGAAATTATTGTTTTCGAATAATTTTACAATTAAAGATATTCTTAAATAAATTTAACAGATGGACATTTTTTTTAATAAAATTTTTTCCTCTCTTTACTAAAAATTCAAAAATTTTCAGTTTCATTTTCAATAAAATTTTCCAATTGACAAATATAATTTATAAACATTTTTTTCATTTATTTTGAAAAAACTTTGAATTTTATTAAAACAATTGAAATTAGAAATAGAATATTAATGCAAATTGTTTCCTTATGAAAATTGAGAATTTTCTAGAAAAATATAAAGAAACGGAAATATGTAATGTTTTTCAATTATTTTCGAAAAATTTTCCTAAATTTCATATTAATTCTATTATTTACCAATTTTTTTATAAATTTCTTTGCAATAATTTAATCATTTTCAATTAATAATCAAATTTTTTTACAGGGATTGAATTATTTTCATAAATATATTAAAATTCTTTTTAGAAATTCAATTATTTTCATAAATAAATCTCATCGCAGAATTTCAATTATTTTTAATACAATTTTAATTGAATTCCTCGAAAAAAGTAATTGTTCGATTAACAATGCAATTTTATTAAAAATCGTCAAAAGAAATCAATTTTCAAAAATGTTTTGATAAAATTCTTTATGAGAATTCAATTTTAAGAAATATTTAATTATTCAATAAATTATTCATTTTTGCATTTAAATAATTGAATTCTCGTAGAATTTTCTTATAAAAATTTATTTAAAAATGAATTTCAGTTAAAATTTTAGATTTGAATATTTGCTGTTCAAATTATTCAAATATGAAATATTCAAATAATATTTGAATATTAAAAGCATTATAGCGTGAATTTTAAGAAATAATTGAATTTTGAAAAGGTTTCAAATTAAATTCTTTGAAAATCTTAATTTTTCATCAACTTATAACCATAATAATTCTGTAGAATTAATTATTTTGAAAAAGTTTAATTGAAAATGTACAAAATATTTTCTACTTTTAAATTTTTATTTTCCAACAATTTAAAAAATTTTTTTTTAGAAACAAGGAAATAATGAATAATAACATTAATAATGTTTTTTAGATTTTTTTAGATATTTATAGATATTTTTAAAAATATTTTTATTAATTAATAAAAATATTTTTGAATTATTTGCAAAATAAAGATAATATTATTAAATTAAAAAATTGTAAAAAAATAAAGAAGTAGGTATAATATTATCTATCGAAACATATCAGAAAAACAGAAAACAAATTTATTTGTTTATATTAAAACTTAGCGCTTTTATATCGCAATTCGATATATCGAAAATATTCGAGCGAATAGTCGCTCGTCTGACGTCACACACTTAATATAGTAACGCCTCTAGTGTAAGAAATTCAAACTTTATTTATATCACGGGCATGCGTTTCTTTGTATTATAATATTCATGACAGTTACAAATGTCAAAAAACAAAAACAGTCGCATAAACATCGGTCTGCTAAAAACAATAACAAAATTTTTTAAAATTTATTTAAATGGAGTACAATAGAATTCGCACAGGAAAACTTGTGCTGAAAGGCGAAAAACAGAAGTATTTATATTTTAAAATAATTATTATTTACATTGATTCTAATACATATATTGATTCTAATTGTTTGAACTAATAAATCTAGTTGTATAATAACAAATTGTAACTTTTTATGATCAATGAAATTATAATAAAAAATAATAACAAACAATAATTAACAAATAATCACAAATTATAATTAATAATTTACAAGATTGTATTAATAAATAATAAAAAATTGTAATTAACAAATAACAAAATTGTAATTAATAAATTATAATTAACAAATTAACAACAAGATTTGTAACAATAATTAATTTTAATTAATTTCGAAATATTATCATTAAAAATTTCAAAAATAATATTGAATTTTTATTATATTTTTATTGTAAAAAAGTGAATTTTAGAATTTTTTTTATATGAACTTCCTGTATTTTTATAAAAAGAATTCCTGAAGACCTTTTCCAAAAATTAATAAAAAATAATCTGAAATTTGAAATTATAGAATTTTAAAAGGATTCAAATTTGAAATTTCAAAAAAAATTTGAATTTTAAGTAATTTTAATCGAAAAAGTTAGTTTTTGAATAATTTTTGAATTTACGTGAAATTAAATTGTAAACAAGTGAATCTCAGAATTATTTTAAGTGAACTTCCGGTTCAATTATTTTTTGAGTAATAATTTATTTCATGAAAATAAATTCTTTTCAAAAAATGCCATAAATTCTAAATTCAATTCTTGATGTAAAGGCTATACTACAAAATATATTATTCTAAATTTATACTTAAAAATGAATGTCCTTAAAAAATATCATACGATTTATTTTATGAAAGCAGTATTTATAATTCATAAATGTTTTTCATTTACAAATAATAAATAAAGCTAACTAAATATTTATAATAAAATTTTCCAAAGACAAACAACTTTTTTTTCCATATTGGTCTTTCACCTTTAATAAAAAGAATATATATTTCAGATCGAAAAAAAGAAAGCACAAAAACTTGGAAAAAGTTGAAAAAACGACCGAAGTTCAAGACACCGACGTTATTAATCATGGTAATTGCTTTTCAATTATATATGTTTAAGAATATTAAATTACGATTATAATTTTAATGAAATGCTGTATTTAAAATGAAGATAAATATAATTTTCGAATTAAGTTTTTATTACAATTTATTACTATTTTTTTAGGAGGTTGGTGTAAAACATCTAGTGTGTCAGAGATAACAGGAACAGTGGCTATTGAATTTAAAAATCAAACTTACATAAAGGCACTTGATAATGGTCTTTTTACATTGGGAATTCCTCATGATGAGGGTGACGGTCCATCGCCAGAGGAAATTTTAATAGCCATTCCCGTTAATGAGACAAAAATTGCTCTAAAATCTGGATATGGTAAATACTTGGGAGTAGATAAAAATGGTGTTGTAGTGGGACGAAGTGATGCTGTCGGTACTTTAGAACAATGGGAACCAATTTTTCAGGTATATTAATTTATCTTTTTCCAAATTGAACACTTTTAGAAAATCTATTTTATTTCCCATTTTTTTAAGTCACTGATTACGAATATGAATAAGTAAAATAAGTAAAATTACGTTACGCTTCTATTTGGGCACTTTTTTTAGATTTCAGCCTCGAAAAGCTACTATTTCTGGTTTTTTTTTTAGAATTCACACTAATTTAAATTTGCTATTACTTGAAATCAAAAAACTATTCTTAAAAATTATAATCAAATTCTT